TTATATTCAGCCCAAGGGTACACATCAACATATCCATTTAATTTCTATTTTGACCAAATTATTGATTACAACCGTATTTCATTAGATATTCGACTCATTACTGATCCAGAAATTAATTTTGAAAATGTTACTATATCTGTTTATTATGGAGATGAAATCAACACAGTTATCAGTACGTTAATTAAATTTACCTTTTCAGTTATACATTTTATTCTACTTATCAAAACCATATCCAAACTTCGAACGACAACCATCAGATATTGGCATTTAGAACAAAAATTGACGATTCCATTAATTTTTATTTCCATATTCTACAACAATCCCTTTGAACTCATCCAAATTGTGTCACCCTCATATGCATTTCTCATATATAATTGCATCATCAAATCTATTTTTTCTGCCTATTTTGAGTTCTTCATTCTAGCCCTTTTTGATTCCTTACGATTTAAGAACCGCAAAATCAAGGCCTGCTTCTTCACACCCAAAATTATCTTCATTTTATTTTTATTTTTCATATCACTTGTCCATCGCATTTATATCACGATCACCTCTTTTGACACGAGTCCCGCTCTTGATCAAGACAAGTCAGAATCCGTCTTCCGCATCATCGACCTGATTCTCTACCTGCTGTACTACGTCTGGTTCATGGTTTCGGTTATTTTGGCCGGTTTCCAGGTTGACATCACCGAACGATACAAATTTAACGTATATTTTACAACATGTTTTGCTTCGTTGATGCTCCTCGGTATCGTTTACTGCCTGAATTTGTTCGCGTTCTTTGAGAATAAAACACTCGGTTTCTTCGTGCCGCTGACGACGATAAACTTGTTCGTCATTTTGATGTTCTGCTTCCACTACCCGTACGAGGTGCTCGACGGGAGGTACAACAGTAACGACAATGGAAGCAATGACAGACCGGGCAAGGAGCAGAATGATGCCTTTGTTGATACAAATGCTCAGATAGTGACAATTAATTAGTTTCCTTTTTTTGTTTTATTTTTTAAAGTTTATATAGTAAATAACTATTGTTAGATTATATCTTTTCAACTTTTTTTTATGTGATTAATAATGGCTGAATTACAAATATTAGGTTGAATAAAGACTAAAACATCTCAACATATTAAACAAAAAAATAATGGGCTAGGAACAAAATGAAGGTTTTGTTAAGATAGAGACAATTGGTATCTACTGTTATTGAATTAAACAAAGAACTAATAGTTGCCTATCTTTTCATCACATAGCAATTCATTCACCATAAAACTTGGGTTAGTCAGCAAAATAAACAATCATCATTTTAAGAAAAAATTAAAAACCTTGTGAAATTTTCATATTATCACTTTAAATGTTTATAAAAATATAAATCAAAAATATTTTAAATTTAAAGCCATTGCCAGTTTTTAGTGCATACAAAATGTTTAGAAGTAGCTTCCAAATAGATCAAAATGGAAAAATTTAAAACGGGAGTTATCACTCCAGGTTTTTCCTGTTTGAACGAGTCTCACAATTCTCGTTGGCGGACTTGGCTGTGGAAATTCATAGGTGTCAAGATCTTCATGTTCGTTTTCTGTTTTCTCGTTAATTTCGATCAGCGTTGTCCATGACGATTCTGGCTTACTCGAGTCATCTGTGCAAATCACTTTGTAGCTCCTCAGCTTGTCTGGAGTCCACCTCTTGAGTCTGAAACCGTTAAGAACAGCTGTTCCTCGTGTCAGTTCAACTTGAAACCACGAATTTTCATAAGCATAAGTGCAAATATTGTGTTCTGCATTGAGTGAGTGGAAACTGTTGAAATCGAAATTTGAAGCAGAGATGGTGACTGGACACCTGTGCGGGTCTTCGTTTTCACTCTCACTAACAAGTGTCGCAAAGACTCCTCTTGAATACTTCGAGTCTGTTGATAAAAGTTCAATTCCTTTGATGCGTAGAAAATTATCGCCTTGGTCCCAGTTCGGTCCTGTCTGTGTGAAGCGAACTTTTCTGCCTCGAGTTGGTGCAAAGCTGACTGTCATGTCTTTGTATTCACCATTCAGTTCTCTCGCTTCTCGAATTGATTTCACTGTTTCGCCTTCAACTGAAATGTCAAATGACTTAGGAAAACATTCAAAAGAAGAAAATATTTTGACGCCACTGATCGTGACTGCTGCCTCAAGTTCAAATTCAATGAAGAAATCTCCATCGTTGGTTGTGCCAAAGTCATCATCAGTGTGAGGAAGAAGGAGGGTGCAGATGTCAGCTGATGACTGGGATGCGACGAAGAGTCTGTCGAAGGGAGTTTTCTGTTTGTCCTTCAGCTGGGCAAGAATTCCTGGTCCTTCCTTGCTCATCCCAACTGAGAAAAATCTGCCAAATCTTTGCTCAAGTGACAAAATCTGCGAATCTTTCTCTTTTCTCACTGATTGGAGCTCTATTTCGAGTGAAGAAATTTTGGATGCCTGATTCTGCTTCACTGAGGAAAGTTGTGCTTCAAGTGACGATATTTTAACTGCCTGTTCTTTGATTGTCTGGTCCATTTTCTCTATTTGCTGTCTCAGTTCTTCGTTCTCTCTTGTTGCGGTTTTTGTTTCCTCTTTGATATCGTCAACGTAGTCGAGTAGCTCGCCTGTGTCAACGTCTTCGAGGCAGTACTTCATGCTCACGCCTGACTCGTCTTCTTCTTCACCTTCATCTTCGTCGTCTGAAACGATTTTCGGTTCTTCATAGTTCCCTTCAAATTCGAGGAAGTGGTCTTCGTTGGACAGGCTCAACTTTTTGAATAGTTCCTCAAATGTTGGCCGTTCTTTTGGATCCTCTGACCAGCACTTTTCAATCATTCGCCGCAGGCCTTTCTTAATCGGAAAGTCAATCTCTGGACGCAGGCCTTCCTCAACTTTCTTCTTCAGCTGGAACAAAGTCAGTTTCTTCTTTCCGTGGAGGAGGCCGTCGTACGCGCGCTTCCCGCCAATCACTTCGTACATCAGAATTCCAAACGCGTAAACGTCTGCCTTCGTGTTGAAGTGGTCACTGCTGATCACTTCTGGCGCCATGTATGCCGCTGTGCCTGTTTCTGCCATCGACTGGCTCATGGAGTGGTGGGGGTCAAAAAATTTTGACAGGCCAAAATCTGTAATGCGCGGGTGGAAATCGGAATCAAGGAGAATGTTCTCTGGCTTAAGATCGCGGTGGATAACGTGTTTGTTATGTAGGAGCATCATCCCTCTGGCAATGCCAACAAGGATGATTTGGCGTTTTGTATTATCGTAATTTGATGGACAAAGGCTCTTGAGTTCTTTTTCGATCAAACTTGCTAGGGACCCTCCCTTCATGTAATCCATTAGTATTGTTATGTTTTTGTCGCCATGGAAATCAACGTATGAAAATCCTCGTAATTGAATAATAGTAAGGTGCTGTACTTGAATTAAAATACGAACTTCACGTGATATAAAAAGTTTGTTTTGCGATTTATTTTGAATAAGATTGGTCTTGGCTGCATATTCTTCACCTGTTTTTTTGTTTCTAACCAAATTAATCACTCCGAAACCTCCTCGGTTAATATCTCGGACAATTTCATAATCATCTAAATTGATCAAATAGTCCTCGCCATGTTTTTTTGTTTGGCTTGCTTTCCTGACTGAAAACATTTAAAGTGATAAATTTTGGCAAATCAAAAAACAATTTATAAATGTTCTCATAAAAAGTTATAATTATAACTTATTGAAGCAACTAATGATGGAATTGGAAATGCATGTCATTAACATAAAAACAACTGAAAATTCTGCTTTTGCTGAATGTAAAAATAATAACCAAAATTGATATCCTTTTACAGTAACATCAATTGGTGAATATTCTTTTAAAGGATGCACATTTATTTCAGATTGCACATTATTAACAAAACTAACAATAAATTCGCACAAAATTCGACAAATAATATGTTTTAATAGATTAATTTTTTTCATTGCAATGAATTATCTGAAAAGATTTACCATTATCAATAAGAAAAATTAGGTCATGCGCTTTTAAATATTGTTTATCACTAGAGAAGATATCAATTCCAAAATTAGTGGAATCAATTGAATATTCAACTTTTTATGGATGTTCATCGTTGATAGAAATAACAATTCCACCATCTGTTACGTGCGTTGGGGATAATGCTTTTTATTACTGATTTTCATTGACAGAAACAACAATTCCTTCTTCTGTAAAGACAATTAAGTCCTATTTTTTTTGCCAATGTTCATTTTTAGTGAAATTTACAATTACATCATCAGTTGCTTCCATCAGATCAGGTTGTTTCCAAAATTTTGTACATCATTGATTGAAATATATATTCCATCTTTATATATATCAATTGGATCTTCGCCTTTCTAAGGCTGTTCTTCAATTAAGGAAATATCAATTCCAAGTTCAGTAACACCATTTGGATCTCTAGCATTTTGTGAATGCACTAATTTGAAGCAAATCATGATCCCATCATCAATTCTATTGATTGGCGAAAAATCTTTTTATAATTGTACAGCATTAAAGCAGGTTTCAATGCCTCCATCAATCGCCGTAATTAATAGTGGAACTTCTGAAGGTGGCTCATCGTTGTCACAAATATCTATTCTTTTTGTTAATGGAATTGAAAGAAATTCTTTCAAAGATTACTCTTATCTGAAAGAAATAAAGATTCCTTCATCTGTAACATCAATCAGCGATAATGCATTTATGAATTGAACATCTCTGAAACAGCTTATAATATATCCTATGTTACTTCTTTATGGAATAACAAAGTATATGAATGTAAATCTCCAAAGCAACTATTTGTTTCTTATTCTTAGGATATATCTCAAATTAACATTGGTACCAATACAAAAATAAAATTTATTTGATTTCTAGCTTTGATAATTTCTCTTTAATCTTTTTTATATACTTAATTAAAACAAAGCATCTCCTTTTTCTTATCATAAAATATTGTAATTTTTGGAATAATTAAATTTATGATTAAACAAAGAAATATGGAGAATGAAATGTATATCAACAGAGTCCTGGTAATTTAATGGCTAGAATGGATTCCTAACCCGTATCTTGAAGAGGTTCGATTCCTCTCCGGGACATTTTTTTGAATTTTTTTGTATTAATTTTTCTCGTAATTTACAATCCTAATTTATCAGAATGATCAAATTACCGGCTATTTGGCCATTAAATGAAGAAATATATAAATTTTGCTAATGTCAGAAACCTCTAATAAATACATATAATATTAATTATTATTTGGCATTAATAAACAATGATCTTTGATAAATAATCGCTTATCCATTTTATAATATCCCATAAAAAAGATAAAACACGAATGTCAAACAATATAATAATATTTAAATAAAAATAAAAATATTCATTCTGTTCTAACACACATCCATTTGTCATAAGTAATATGAGCAATTTCTTTTCTAACATCCTTTGCCTTTGCGCACTTATCAAGGATTTTTGGCAGCCAATTAATTAAAGCCTTATCATATGGAACACCTGCCCATTTTGGAATAATAATTGTATTTTCAGGGTGAAAATGCTTAACATGATAATTATCTTCAATTAAAATAATGTCACTCAAAGGTCGTTTAAAAGCACCAATATCCTTATGAACATCATCATTTTCAATGGTGCAGGAATCTCTGAACAATCGATGCTGTTCATCTAGAGAAGGACAAATAACATCAATGATTGGGTCAGCATAAAATTTTTCGCCAAAAGTAAAGATGAAAACATCAAAAACTTTTGTATACTTTTTCAAAAAGTTGTCTAATCCTGGTCTTTTGAATACATAAATGGGCGGATCTCCAGATTGAAATGCTTCAACTTTCTGATGTGGGGGAAACTCACAGCTGTGAATAAGAGTCTCATCAAGATCAAATACAAGAGTTTTCTTGTTTGGAATGGGAGGAGGGGGGAAGTTTGGAGGATAGATTGCAGATGGTGTTTTGTTCGTATTGAATAAACGCTGGAAAAATGAAGGTTTTTGTTCTGGTTGGTCGTTTGATGGTTGTTGATTCTGTTGCTGCTGCTTTGCTGGTTTTGATTTTATTTCTTGTTGTAATTCTTGCTGTATTTGTGTTAATTGCTTTTGGACGAGTTGGAATAACTGTTCAACAAGTTGTTTTTGTGATTTTTGTTCTGTTTTTTGAGGTTGTTGCTGCGCATTTTGTTTGGGTTGTTGTAAATCTTGTTTTGGTGTTGATTGTGTATGTTGGATTTCTGATTTTTGTTGTTCTTGTGTTTCTTTCTTTTGAGGAGATTCTTTTAATTCTTTTGGTTGAGAATCTGTTTGTGGAGGCGGTTGAGAATTATTTTGTGGTGAATCTAATGAAATCAACTGATCTTTTTCTGTCAGTTGTGGATTGGTTTGTAATGATGATGTTGGCGATTTGTTTTTCGATGAATCAAAGAATATTAATAGATCGTCTGGCTGAGATTCGTTACTATTATTATTCGGATACTGTGGCTCTTGTTGTGGTGAATTCATGACTAAATGTGTTTCATTCTGCTGATTTTGTTGTGGTTGTTGTAACGATGACTGCACATGCTGAGGAGATTCAATTTGTATTAGAGGTTGTAGATTCTCATGTTTTTCTTGTAATGTTTCTAAAGATATCAGATGTTCATCTTGTTGTAGTTCCAAATTTTGTTGCGGAGTATTTGACTGCGATTGTTGTTTTAACAGTTCTTGCTGGTTTATTTCTGGAAATAAATTGATGTCATCTTGCTGAACATTTTGTTCCATGTTTTTGGGTTCCATTACATTACTTTGTGAATCAGGCTGCAGCTGAGGTTCAGACATAATAAATAATTTTCAAAATAAATTTTGCATTTTGAAAAAGCTGGAGATAGTATTTAATTTTCTATTGGTAAAATATTCAATTCAATTTTCTATGCTGCTGATAAATATTTCATTCAATTTTATAAGATCTATTTTTCTCATTTTATATCAATAAATATTAAAAATATATTATTTTTGAACAGCAAATAAAATAAATTTTTCATTATTATATATAATATGAATGTAAATCTTATTATTATTCTTTTTTTAAAAGAGATTTATCAAAATTTTACTAAAATTCAATAAAAATATTTTCTTGATTAGATTAACACTTTTAGAGAATAAAAATTAAAAATAAAAAAGAATAAAAAATTCATATAAAAAATAAATGAGATTGTATGGAATTATCTGCTTTTTTGGATTTAATAAAATATATTATGTTTATTAATTTATATAAATAATTAAAATAGTAAATGAATCACTTGAAAATATACTTATTTTGATGAAAAAAATAAAAATTTAAGAGATATTTTAGCTTTTCAAACAAAAAATGACGATTATAAAATTCAATAAAAAACTCAGAAAAAGATTGATCGGAATTTTTATAAACTTTTTGAAAACTTATTATTTTTATATTTTTAACAAAAAATGGGAAATTCTGCTTCATACGATATGAACCAAGATACAGGGAATGTTGACCTTGTTAACCAGAATTTAACTGAAATTCCATTTATTCCGCTTTTAGAAACTGACGCAAAACATCTATATTTATCGAGGAATAAATTTGCTTCTCTACCAGAAAAATTAGAACAAGTTATGTCAATTGACCTTTCAAAAAATGGTTTAGGTCCTAGTTTACCGATTTCTATAGCCAAGCCGCTTTCATCATATCGTAATTTGCATACTTTAATATTAGCTTATAATCAATTAAAAGATCTAACGGAATCTTTTAAAAGCGAAAAAATACTGACATTCAACTTATCAACTAACCGGTTTAACAAATTACCTGCCAATTTTAATAAGAATTTTCCAAATATAAAAACATTATATTTTGATTGCAATTTTTTAAAAAAAATTTCCAATTTTCAATCCGAAAAAATTGTTACCTTAACATTATCATTGAACTGCATTGAAACTATCGACACATCCACCATTAGCTTACCTCAACTTACAAAACTTAATTTATCAAAAAATCATATAAATACTCTACCAAATAACCTCTCAAAAAGTTTTCCTATATTAGAATCATTAGATTTGAGTGACAATTTTTTATCAGAAATACCAGAAAATGAAGCTAATGATCAATCAGATGATGATGAATCCTTTGCTTTTCCTCAAACTCTTCAAGAGCTCAACCTTTCGAATAATACTCTTGAACATCTTTCAAAATCGCTCACTTCGCTTCCAAATCTAACATCATTAAACGTTTCAAATAACAAACTCACTGAGATTCCTGAAATAACGGCACCAATAACCAAGCTTGATGCCACTCAAAATCAAATTACCAAAATATCAAAACAAACCTTAAAATCCATCAAAGATCTCACCTTTTCAAAGAACCAACTCGAAAAGTTCCCAATTGAGCTAAAAATGAAGCAGACTAACTCAATAGTTGTTGATCACAATAATATCCAAGAGATAAAATTGTCCAATCTTCAATTAAAGACTATATTACCCAAGACCATCACCTTAATAGATCTTTCGTTCAACCACATTGAGACACTTCCCAAAGAAATTTTTGAATGTCTTCCCAATCTCCAAACTTTTTCAATGAGCTTTAACAAAATCTCCATTATTCCCTCAGAAATCAATAAATGCAGCAAGCTTACCTATTTAGAGATTTCGTCCAATCCGATCAAGACGCTCCCAAAGATGCCACTTTCACTTGAGACCATAACCGCCTCCAACTGCCAAATTGAGAGCCTTGACGGCGTCTTTTGTGAGCCCAGCACGCCCAACCGCTACTACTCGAGTGCTGAGCCCCTCCGCAAGAAAGAGAGGGACGAAGAAAACGAAGAAAACGGCGGCAGTAATAAATTGGCCGATAACCTATCAAAAAGTGAATCACATTTCACTTTTTCAGGGCTCAAGCATGTCGACTTCAGCGAGAATAATCTAGAGAGCTTCCCGAACCTTCCTAATCTCCAGATCATCAACCTCTCTCACAATCGTCTGAAAAAGTTCCCAACGATAACGAGTCAGACGCGCATTTTGGATGTTTCAATGAACGAGATTGAAAAAGTTCCGGAGATAATCAATTCACCATTTCTTGTTGAGTTGAATCTCTCTTACAACAAGATCACTAAGCTCCCCAAATTCCAGAAAATGTCGCACCTTCAGTACCTCGAATTTCAGGGGAATCCGATCACCGGCAAACTTGACATTAGTGAGATGAAAGTGATTGACATGATTGATGCAAGTCGGACCAATTTGACGTCCATTTCATCAAAGATTGGCATTTCAAGCTCGACAGAAATCATCACGTCAAAGAAGGACCTCAAAATCCTTTCAAAAGAAAAAGTGGCAAACAAAGGGATGATTTACATCAATCAAAAAGTGGAGGACAATAAGTGCTCTATCGGCTACACCGAAATATTGGGCCTGAGAGACAGCATGGAAGATTCCTTGATCATTCGCGAGGACTTGCACTTGTACGCAGTCTCCGACGGCCACGGCGGGTCAAACACTTCTCGCTTCATTTCGAGCAAGCTTGTTGATGAGTTTGAGAGAGAGAACGGAATCCACCAAGCTGGCAAGAGCAAGAACAAAAGCAAGAGCAAAGGCAAGGACAAAGGCAAGAGTGCAAAAAGCAAGAAAGAAATGATCTATTCAATTTTCAAAGAAACCGAAAAAGCATTGAAAAAGAGGAACTTTTTGGATGGGTCCACAATTTGCCTTTGCCATCTCTATCGTTCTAGTTTAAATAGAAAAATTATAACCGCCCACTTGGGTGACGCCCGCGCTTTGATCGTTTGCAATAACGGTTCTTTCCGTGAGCTCACAAACGATCACAAGCCTTACATTCGTGGTGAGTTTGAGCGTATTCACAAAAACTTCGGAATGATTAGTCAGGAAAATAGAGTGGACGGCGTCCTGGCAATCTCCAGGTCTCTCGGCGACAACTACATCGACGGAATCATTCGTGAGCCGGAGATAAACGAGACCGATATCATCGACGATACCGATAAGTTCCTCGTCATCTGCTGCGACGGAGTGTTTGACGTGCTCTCAAATGATGAAGTGGCAAAAATTGTCTGTAATGCTGAAAATGCGGAAGAGGCGGCCTTCAAAATTAGAAACGTG